TGTGGGTGGGTGGGGACAGAGTGCCAACGCCCACCACCCTGTGCTGCTGCTGCCTCCGAGGAGTGGGGGGCAGGAGGGAAGCTTGCACACGGCTGCCGCTACCCACTGCCCCATGCTGCTGCCGCTCCGCATCTGACCACACCCACCCCATCCTGTGTCCGGCCCTCACCACCCCCCCTTTCCCTCCTCCGCTGAAGCCCTGCCCCGCCCATCATTCTTGACACCCCACTGGCTGGAGCCATGCCCTGCCAGGAGCCATGCCCCCCAAGAGTGTTACAGACAGACATGCACGCAGACAAATGGACTCTAAGCACTTTTTATATATATAGAATATGAAAGCATCATCTACCAATTTATAAATTGTAACATGAGACTTGTTCCTTCAGATGATACAATCTTCTCCTTATGGCTCAACTTGTAATATTACTCTATTATATGTGCTTCTTAGTAGTATCTAGACTCAGGATATCCATTTCTTTGTCGTATGCAAACAGAAATAGTTCTGTGCGATAATAAACTTGGCCTCTGCCCTGCAGTGAATGATATTGCTGACTGTATACTTTTAAACTCCATCATGCACAGCCCTGGAAAAACAGGAATCTCATGCTTTGGATTTGTGAGAGACACTTGCAATCACATGGGTTTTTTGACCCTGTTTTTCAAGGGTATTACATGAGAGAAGGCAGGCCAAATTTAAAAATTGCGGTGTCTTTCAGTCACATCTTCGGAATGGAAGTTCTTGTGGGATGTGATGTTTATGGCTTTTTAAGTAGTGAAACTTGAGCGAGTTCTGTTCTCTTATACCATGACTTCTGTTGTCTCAGACATTGTTCCATTCCCTCCATTTTTCGTTAATCAGATCCCTCAAATTAGTTGCAGATTTTTAGAATAGGTTGTTAAACTTGATTGTTTCAGTTTAGGTTAATGTTATTTGAGGCTTTATATTCCACAAGGTCCCAAAGATCTTTTTGAAGGATTGCTCTTGAAGAGATGATTTGTAATAAATCTGGTGCACTTTTATTTTTCTTACCAAGCATGCATTCAGCTTGACAACATGCATTATTTTACTGTAATGATTGAACATTTCATACATTTTTTGATGTTCCTAAATGGTTGTCAGGAATCAGAGAAGTAGGGCTGGAAGGGACCTCTGGAGGTCATTTAGTGCAACCCCTGCCTAAGCTAGGCTCATTCCTATCCAAACCGTCCTACACAAATCCATAATCTAACCTCTTAGTAAAACTACAGTCAACCCTGGCACAACATAAGACACAACACCAAAACCTTCCATAAGTGAAGCAGTGAAACCACAGCTTCCAGTGTCCTGCTTCTGTAAAATGTTGTTAATGTAAAATTCCTTTGTGACCCAAATATGGCAGTTGGTCTGACCCTAAGCAGAGGGGCAGGACCTTTGACTTTAAGTCCCAGCAGGAGCATTCACACATCTCATTCAAACTCCTCAATGCCTCTGTGGAAGGCTTAAAAACAAAACAACAAAAAAACCCAACATGCACATATCAACCACCACATGTAGCAGGGAAGTGGGGGGTGAAGTTCCTTCTAAGCCCCATGTGGCAACCAGCAAAACCCAGAAGCATAGGAAATATCCATAGTAGAACCTAGGCATGCTATGCGTGTATCATCACTGACCAGTGGTTGTCCAGTCTCTCTTTGGATGCTTTCAATAATGGAGAGTCTACAACTTCCCTTGGCAGTTTATACCACTGGCTCTCTGTTCTAACAATAAGAAGTTCTTCCTGATACGTAGTCTAAACCTGCTTTGCTGCAACTTCAAGTCATTGTTCTATGTCCTCCTCTCTGCAGCAAGAGAAAAAAGGTGTTTTCCCTCTTCCTAATGGCAGCCCTTCAAGTATTTGAAAATTGTTTTCATGTCCCTTCATAAGCACCTTTTCCACAAGCTGAACATGCCTAGCTTCTTCAGCCTCTCCTTGTCTGACTTGTCTTGCAAGCCCGTTATCATCTTTGTTGCCTGCCTCTGGATACTTTCTGACTTCTTCATGTCCTTTAAAAATGCGGAGCCTGAAACTGCACACAGTACTGTAGATGAGGCCTAATCAGTGCCTAGTAGAGAGGCACTATCACCTCCCATGTCTTTCACCTTGTGTTTCAACTGATGCATCCCAAAACCACCTTCTCCTTTTGTGCAGTTGCACCACACTGAAGACTCGTACTGAGTCTGTGATCTACCAAGAGTCCCAGGTCCTTCTCCACAGTGCTGCTATCCATCCAAGTGTCACCCATTTTATATTTGTCATTTTGATTATTCTTCCTGACAGGTAGCACCTCCATTTGTCAACTTTGAACTTCATGTTGTTAGCTTCAGTCCTGCTTTCCAGTCTGTTGATATCCTTCGGTGTTGTGTTCACAGTCCTTCCCAGTTTTGTTTCATCTGCAAACCTGCCCAAGACTCTTTCTATGCCAGCACCCAAACCATCAATAAACACATTGAACAGCACTGGGCCCCAGGACAGACCCTGGTGGAACTGTATTTGAAGCCTTCTGCTATTCTGACATGGATCCTTTTATAATTACCTTTTGTTTGCAGCTATTAAACTAGTTGTTTATCCTCTGTGTGGTAGTTTTGTGTAGCCTACATTTGTCCAATTTGTTTATGAGAAGGTCACGTGGGACCTTATTAGGAGCCCTGCTGAAGCCCAGATGCACTACATCCACAGCATTCCCTTCATCCACCCAAGCAATTATTTTGTCAAAGAAGGCGGTCAGGTTTGTTTGATGCAATTTGTTTTTCATAAATTTCTATGCTGGCTGCTTGTAATCAGTCTTCCCTCCTCTAGATGCTTGAAAATGGTCTTCCTTAGGATATGCTGTGGTAACTTCCTGGGTATCTAGGTAAGGCTAAGTGGTCTGTAGTTCCCTGTGTCCTCTTCTTGCCTTTTATAATAGATGTGGATGAGGTGGATGAGCACCACGTTGGCCTGCTTCCATTCCTCTGGTATCTTGTCAATCTCCCATGACTGTTTATGAAGCTCATTGCTAAGGGCTACAAGATCTCCCCTGCCAGTTCCTTCAGTGTCCTGGGATGAAGTTCATCAGGCCCTTCTGACTTGAATTCATAGAGACCCATCAAAAGCTCTCTGACTCTCTATTGTTATTTCATCCCCAGTTTGTCCCTTTCCTTATCTGGATAATTCTTATTAGGTGTCTGGCTGCAGCTTACTTTTTCTGTGAAGACTGAGGTAAAGGAGCTGTTAAGTAGCTCTGCTTTCTTTGCATCTTTTGTTAAGAGTTCCCGCTGGCTATTTAATAGTGGACCCACAGCTTTGGTCTTTCTTTTCTGGCTGACATACTTATAGAATCTGTTTGTGGTGTCTTTTAACCTCCCTCTCCAGGTGCAACTCATTCTTTATCTTTTGCCTTTCTGATTTTGTCTTTGTAGGTCCTAGCTATTTCCTGGTAAGCTTCCTTGATGATCTGCCTCTTTTGCTGTGGCCTATATGTTTTACTTTTGCAACTGAGGAATTCTGGAAGCTCTGTGTGCAGCCACATCGGTCTCTTGCCGGTTTTCTTGTGCTTCCATCATGTCTGAACAGTTTCTTGTTCAGTTTTCAATATTGTACCCTTTTGAAGCTTCCAGCCCTTATGGAAGAAAACTAAACTTGAATTTGGAGGGAAATGACTGTTTTGTCAATTTTTGATTGGATCTTGAAAGCCTTTATAATAGGTACTGTTAATTTGGAAGATTGCTATTTAGAGTAGTTAATCATTTTTTGTAATACTAAAATGACTGGATTGAAATGTCTAATAAAGGTTTCATGTTTTGAAAAAGAAGTGCTTGTGGTAATGGTGCTATGTTGTCTGTAGGTGGCAATGAAGATTCTGCAAAAACACTAGAAGCCCTTAATCTGAGAGTAAAACGTCAAGAAAACCTGCTACAGCGATGTAAAGAGATGATTCGATCACATAGGGATCGCTCTGCACAGCTATCTAATGAGAAAGAGGCTCTGCAGGAACAACTAGAAGAGAGACTTCAGGAACTAGAGAAGATGAAGGTATGGAGAAGATTCTAACTTGATAGACGTTACCTAGTGTAGTGCAAAAGTCCTGGTGTCATTTACGTGAGTTTACACAGCTGAATTGATGACATTGGTCATTACAGTGATTTGGACAAAATATGTTGGCAGCTGTGCCAAAATGTCATGGGAAACAGTGACATAATTTTGAAATCAGATGCACAGAAACTAATCAGAATATTCAGCCTGAGCAAGGAGAAAACCTTGAAGGGGACGGTCCTCAGGTCTAGCGTGATAAACTAACTCCTAACTAGATATGATTTCTATGATTAGGAGTAAACAAAGAGCTGACAGAAAATGCAAAAAAGGTGTTAATCAATGCAGAAAGCTGCATTTCAGAAGTAGGCATAAAAATGTGTGAAATGTTAAAAGTCATGCTGTGTTAAATCTTGTAAAGGCTATTCATAAATTACACAGTCAGCCATATGAATAAACAGAGAACAAGGAAAGTAGTAGGGTGCTTATTTAGTAAAGAAAGATTAAGTTTAATCTAAGTATAGCCCAAAACCTAAATAAACCCAGTAGGTTAATCTCGCAACAAATTTAGACTGGCCACATGTGCAAAGTAATTGTCACACCATAAAAATGACTCTCCAGCTATAAGAAGAACCAGCTAGCCCCAAAGTTAGTGTGCTTAAAGACGTATAACAACTCTGTAGCTTGTTTCTGTCCAGCTTTAATTTGAACATGTAGCAGGGCCTTTAGAGCATGGACATGGAAGTTAAACACACATTAGGTTAGAAGCTAGACTCAGAGCTCATTATGTTCAAATTGAGGATGCTAGATAATCTCCATGGCAAAAACTGGTGCACAAAATTGCACATGTGGTAATAACTGCTTTTCACATATGATTAGAGAATTAGTATTTCTAGTTTTAAAGTGTTGGGAAGCAATGTAGGCAACTGCTGATCTGATAGTTTCACCTCAGGAGTATGCAAAGGCTTGAGAACAGATTTTGAAAGAAATAGGTAAATAGAAAATTGGATAAGATGTCACGAGACATCTTGAGACTCATCTTATTTAACATTTTCATTATTGTTGCTCTCCAAAAAATAGCAGTAGACTAATGACATTTGCTGGTGGCCTGAAGTTGGGAGACACTGTCAATGCATAAAAAGATTGGAGTGTTATCATGGTGTTATCAAGAATTGGATCATCTTGAATGATAGGAATGAGATGCAGTTTAAAAGTATAGAGTGCAAGATAATATATACAAAAATGTGTTTAAGATAGGAGGATATCCATTAGAAACAGCAGGTGGAGAAAGACCTGGCTGTTTTAAGTAATTGCAGAATAAGTATGAGGCCCCAAGGTCACATGGCTGTGACAAGCAAATGTCACTTAAGTATATATTTCTTTCAATAGAGAGGGTAACGTATTAATGCCATTGTACAAGGTAGGGGTGTGAGACCTCATCTGCTATGTTTTATACAATTCTGGTCAGTCATGTTTAAGGAGAGTGCATTTAAACAACAGCAAGGGTAGAGGGAAGCTGCTAGGCCCTGTATTCCCCTGATCATTCTGTCTTGAGAGGAGACTAAAAGAACTTGGCTACTTTTAGTCTAACAAAGTGAAAGCTGAGAAAGGTATTATTGCTTTTTATAAATACACCAGGGAGGGTAAAGAACTATTGAAGCTAAAAGGGCAGTGCAGTGTTCACGCAGAAAAAATTGAGTATAAGATGGCCATGAATAAATTTAGGAAGGAAATTAGAGGCAGTTGGAAAAGTGAGTTTTCTGGAACAGTTTTCCAGTAGGCTTAGGTTTCCTGTGAAACTTAATTACTTTGAGAGACATTATAAAACATGGTGCTTGTGATAGCAGGGGATTGGACTTGATGGTCGAAGAAGTGCCTTGCCATCATATGCAACTGCACATTATTGCTTGCAACTCTACAACTGTTATGCATCGGTGAAACTTCTACATTGTTCATCTGAGCTACTCAAGCACTTTAGATAATTAACCTGCAACTTCCCTTCTAATGCTTGCAGGTCCACAGCCAGGATTTAAAGGACTCTTCAGCTGTAGCCCAATCTCCTATAGAGAGTTCCCTATTCCTTTCTTTGTGGCTGCTTCTCGCATCATCCGCTGCATTTATTTCTCTAGCTCCTAGCTCAGGGGTGGGCAATTATTTTCCACAGAGGGCCACTTACTGAGTTTTGGCAAGCCATCGAGGGCCGCATGATAGGCAGCCCAGGGCAGTTTAATATTAATTTCTAAATTTTTTAGGGGCCCTGTGGACCAGATAGAGTGGCCTGGCCACATTTGGCCCACCCCTGCCCTAGCTGGTAGGTCAGATCTGGCCTGAAAGGTTCTTCGCAGGCCCGAAAATTTGGCGGTGGGGGGTTGACACTACTCCCCTTCTGCCAAATTTCCAGACCCGTGGGGAGCCCTGGACCCTGCATGCTGCAGTGGGGGTACAGGGCTGGGCTGGGTCAGCCCAGTCTCAGTGTAGGATGCCAGGAGGGAGTGGCGCTGGGCTCCCAGGGCCCAATCCTGGTGGGAAGGGGCGGTACCTGAAAGTTGAGCACCACTGCTTTAGAGAGGGTTTGTGTTCTTTTAAACATCATTCCTTTTATAATAGGTGTGGATGAGGTGGCAGGGCACCATATTGGGCTTGAGTGATGGTGCTAGACTACTTCTGCTATAAAAATAAGCTATTGTGCAAAAATCAAATATCCAGCTTTTTTCAAAATTTACCTTTTCATTTCTGAGGAAGACTTCAGTGTATATAAAGCAAACTTTTATAGTAGTAGTAGTTTACTGAGAGCAAGAGGGCAGACAGTGAAATAGCAAGCAATATTTTGAGGTGTCAGAACAATAAAGTGAAATCCTAATAGTTTGAGAGAAAAGGATATATGTATAATTAAATATATTAAGATAAACCCGGAGTGTTTTAATGTTAGCAGGCTGTCTTCATTTGGGTTTGTCTTATTTTATTTCTGAATTGTGAGAGGTTTAATTTTGTCTCCATTTCTTGGGTTAGAATCTCCCTATTCCTTGTCTCCTTTCTATCAGCTTAAAGGACGCTAAGGCTGCTTGCAGATGTGGACCCGCCCCCCATCCCCAAATCATACTTTACCTGAAGAAGCAGTGCATTACTTTGACCTGGCTCTTCAGCATCTATAAATTAGGGCTTCAGCAGGGCTTTGCAGATTGAATCGGCTATTAGATAAAAACGCCAAAAAAGCCCCACTAAAGTGCCCAATCTATACAGATGCTGCAGAACTAGGTTGAAGTAACACACTGCCTCTTCTGGGTATGTGCTGGGCTTGGCATGGGAGTGCGCCAGATTTAACATAAAGTGCATTTTATTATTATTCCCCCCCATGTATTCAAGCAGTCTGAAAGCCCTTAGGTAGGCCTGGAGGAGATTTTTTGTTTGTTTTGTTTTTTTGTTTTTGTTTTTTTTAATGGAAGAACTGTAGAAGACTTGTAAAGGCCTGAGGAAAGCAGCATTACAAGCCTTGGGATAGGGCACAGGGGTTGTGTTGTTGTGTCTGCAGAGACTTTGAGCATCGCTTACACGCACAGCTTTGGGAGATGACTATGTTTTAAACTGCCCCTCATGAACATCTGGGTTATGATGGGGACGGTGAAAGAGTCTTTGATTGGAGGAATGCAGAGATGTCCTAAAACTGCCACAGCCCTTCATATTCCTGGTCCCTGAATTCTGTGTTGCACCTTTTAGAAGCTCAGTGCAGAATCTCATACTGGTCAGTCCCACATTTGATATATACAGATCACAACGATGTTCAGAGTCTGTTGTTTATATTCTCCATCCTGGGAGTCTGTCAGAAGAATAAAACAACTGCTTTTAATTCCTCCTCTTGGCTTGCATTTCAGGAGCTTCAAATGGGTGAGAAGACTAAACTGATTACTCAGTTGCGTGATGCAAAGAACTTGATTGAACAGCTAGAACAAGATAAGGTAAACTTGACAGCGGTTGTTTTGCTTTGTTTCCCTTTAACCTGTGTGGCTAGCAATTAATTTCTCTGCATTTAAATTGGTAAAGCTAGATGTATTTGCCCTCAGATACTTAGAGCTATTCTTAATGGTCATTTAGTTTTGTTTTCCACTCCAAATTATCTCTTGCTTGTTAAAACAAATTTGTTGTGTAGCTATATTGTGTAGATGGCTTGGGAGTATTGAGTAATAGTTCAGTCTGAAGGTCGTAAGAATATTTAATATTGTTTATAACATGATTTTAGAGGGCATACTAATTTAGTAGTTGGGTTAATTGCCAGCCATGTAATAATCGTAACATCAGGTTTTTAGAAAACGAAACAGTGTTGAAGATTTAATGTTAAAATGTGATTAGTGATGTAAAAATACCCATTGCATGCCTGGGATATGAAGTGTTTTAGTAGTTTTATTTATTTCAGTGGTGTTTTAAGCAACATAACTAACATCTGTTGTGTGTTTTTTATTCTTTCATCCTCTTCCCAGGGGTAGATGTGTGCATAATGGAATGTGGGTGTTTGGGGATTTTTTCTTTTTTTTAAATTTATACACGTGTTCCTGTGTATTTAAGTTAAGGATAACAAGGTCAAAGATAAGCAACCTTGTCCTTAGAGGAGAAGTTTTGTGAGTTTTGTGATGGTCCTTATTACTCGGAGGAGTTCATCATACCTAGATAAATCTGGGTTATTCTCCTTGTTCTTGCTGCATCCTACAACTAGAACACATGTTATACTTTCAGAAGTAGTGTACATTTTTGTCTTGTAATAGGTGATGCTTTTTTCTTTTTTTTCCTCCTTGTAGGAGAAGTACATTTTCCATTATCCTAGTAATGGTGAAGTGATTTCAATTAATCCTGATTATATCCTGGCTTGGGGTTGTTCATGACACGCACGTGCTTGTGTTTCTGGAGTCATCTTTTTACCATTAAAATCTCTTCTGTAGGGAATGGTAATTGCAGAGACAAAAAGACAGATGCATGAAACATTGGAAATGAAGGAGGAGGAGATAGCTCAACTGCGTGCTCGGATCAAGCAGATAACTACGCATGGTGAAGAATTGCGAGAGCAGAAAGAAAAATCTGAAAAAGCTGGTAAGAAATTCTGTAGATTACTGGCTTTCACATTTGAATAGAAAAAGCTTCAGCATGGTGTGTCTGCACTCTCATCAGTCATCTCATTTGGGCAATAAAACAATTCCCTTTTTCCTACTGTTCTTCTATCCAGTCCTACTAACATGGCTTCTAACATCCTCTTCAGATCAACAGAGGTTGGGAACATTTCTTACTGCTTTCTCATAACTGCTGCATTCACTAATCCAAAAATGTTGGAAGGCAGCTATACCTCTGTCTTTGTAGGAGGAAAGATTGACATGATCTGGTCTGTTTTTATAGTTTTCAGGGTAGCAACCTTTTTTGTGTGTAAAGGGTAAAACCCTTGCTTTCTGCAGCCTCAGCTGAGAGCGAGAGTAAGCGAGTGTACGTATGTGTGTGTTTGTAGAAATGGGATTGTAGTGGGAGAACATTTGAAAAAGTCAATCTGTAATAAGCCTTTTCTTTTTACAATTGTGTGCCTCAAAGTTTTAGTATCAAAGACATCTGCTAATTTATTTCCAGCATAACGCAAGCAAACAAACCATGAATTTATTTGTTTCAAGCTTGACCAAAGTTACATAAAATCAATTTGTTTTTAAAACAAAGGTAGATGACATACTAAGTGTGCATGCTAAAGTTCTCTTGCTGTATGAAACTAACAGGCCAAATAGTCTTTTAAAACAGAATGCAAACCACTGCACAGCACAGCCATGGAAATCCTAAGAGAAACTGCATTTCTAGCTGCATTCAATTTACATTCATAATCTTTTTGAGAAACCTTACCTGAAAGTTGCATTTTTAATGCAGCTGCTAAGAAAATAATAGCTTAGTTGGCATAAAATACACATTACAAATGTATTATATTTCTAAATTAACAAGAAGTTCAGATTCAGACATTTTATTGTAGTTCACTTCATATCTTGGTAAAATTATCCATCTAGAAAGAATGATTTACATGAGTAAATCATGTACATGCTAAGTGATACAAAGAAACTGAGCATACACAGCCAGCAAAGGGTAAACAGATAGGATTCCATAAATGATCTGCTACAAACATTTGGAAAACTTGTGGAAATATCAGTCATCTGGCTTAGAGATCCCGTTTTTAGGTCTTATTTTAGCTTGAAGAACCCAGATTTCAGGACTAAGTTTTTATTCATGGGGTTTTTTTAAGTTAGCTCTTTGGATTTTTCAGAGATTATTTGATTAATTCATTGGATTTTTAAAAAAGTTTCCTCAAAAATAAGTGCATGAGGATTAGGTGTTAGAAAAAAAAATAATTTTTTTCCTGAAAGAAGAAATTATTTAAATATAGATGTCTGAAATATAGCATTGTTGAAGCAGTTGAAACTTACTGTGTTTTGTAGCATAGATAGTAGTGCATAGATATTTCTCTCTTTTGGCTTTCTTTTAAAAAGTTTTCCAACAGGCTCAAGATGATACATTTGCTACCTTGGAATTTATGATTGTGTACACAGTTTGATTTCCAGGGTGATTAGCAGCAAACTGGGTGAAAAGAAAATTTCTACCCCAATATGTTTTTACAAGAAGCATTTCCAGTATATCGGCCGTGTCAGCATTTAACATAAGCATCCTAATCATGCTGACTTTTTTTGTGGCTTTGAAGGCATATACAGCGTTATGCTTAGTCAACTATACCATTAAAAATAGTACTGGCTTCAAGACAGTTTGTTGCATTGGAACATTTATGGTAACATTGTCCTATGAAACGTCACCCTGCCCTTGTTCTTTTATTCCATTTTCTTGACTACTGACTTGTCTTATGCATTCTAGAAAATAAGGATAAAAAATGAAATCATGTCTTGGTCCAGCTTCAGCTTAAGATGGAAAGTATAGCTTACTATTCAAAACACTTTTGTTACAATTGGCTTCAATTTACTGTACTTGGCAGTTGTAAAAATGTCATCTTAATAGAACAGTTGACATAGCTTTTTAGGTCACAGTGTTGTGCTGTGCACCAGTACTAGGAATTTGACTAGTACATGCATTTATTAGTGGTCTTTACATTTGTGTAAGTTGATATATTTTTATTATTCTATGTGCCACTCTTTGCCATCATGTTACTAGGTTTAAATGTCAGTAATCCCTGACTGGTTTATTTTTTTTGCATATTAAGTATCATTATTCAACCAAAAGAAGTTCAGATTATTTTCCTTGTGGAAATATTGAAGTACATTGTAGATAAGATAGGCAAGCTGAATTTCTTTGCACTTCAGCATTCATAGTGCCATTTTATAAGTTAAAATATAGGATGTCAGGTGCTGTTTTTCATCTTTCCTAGAGTCATAAACTTTGTTGGCTTTCTTTCCTTTGTAGCATGTATAGTTAACAGCTACAATTGCAAGCATATAGTTAAACAATCATTTTAATTAATTGAACACAATGAAGTGGGCCAATATTTGACTTAACATCAATTATTTGTGTTAATTAAACACTAAACATGAATGTATTGTTGTATAGCAATATATAGTGAAATGATATAAAGCTTGTTATGTGTATAGCATAAACTTATAACTAAGTGTCCCAATTTAATAATATTACAATTCAAATGTTTGTAGTTAAGGGTGCATTATACTGAAATCTCACAAAGCATCTTGTTTTTGTGCATCCACACATGCCAATAAGTGAATCATGGTGCCTTTCCCAAGCCTTGTATGAACAGGACTGGGGTAAGGGGTCTCTTTTTCTTACATCACACATTGGGTGCTTGGGCCAGGCTCTACAAAGTAAATTCTGTGCTTCTCAGGCAATGTCAAACTTCAGTCCTTTTACCTGGAGTTACAACACTTTCATTCTTTGTTATATATCTATTGGCTTATATTTTATCTGATCAGAAGTCAGGTATGCTCAGACTTGCACTTAAAATTTAGTATCTTATTCTTTACTGAATAGTTAGTATAAATCCTTACTGTTTGAGATTTTAAACAATACCAATATTATTTTGGCAATCTGTTCTACCGTGTAGAAAAGAGCACTCTTAACTGCATTTTTTTTTCCTTGGTAGATCATGTTGGATTTCTTTTGCCACCTTAAATAATTCTCCTTCAACTTATATTTATCTAAATTTCTCCAGTCAACAAGACCATGTTTATTACAAAGTCTTGAATGTGCATTTATTAATACTTGCCTAGATGTGCAAAAACATTAGCACTGAATCCAAACTGAATGCGTCATACTGCTATTACTTTAAGTAAGAAGCCATTTTTTTTGTTGATCTGGACTTGTATTTAATTAGAGAGAAATTCTTTTTTTATTATTTTCCTATTTCGTCTGCTTAGTCAGTACTGTATGCTGTAGTTTATACCCACTGGATGGCACTGTAGCTTGAAGCTACCAGTTTTTTAATTGTTTAGATCGGGGCAAATCAGAAAGCCTTTACAATGCAGACAGACATTAACTTCAAAAATTTTGGCTTATGTATGCCTGTAGCCAGACCCCAAAGTGTTTCGGTTTTTAAGGAGTTAGGCTCCTAACTGCTTGTTTAGATCTGGCTTAAAGTTCTTGAATGGAAGGCTTTTGACATTGTCTTTCACCCCATTCTCATTAAGAAAATGGGAGGCCGTGGCGTAGACTCCCACACAGTCAAATGGGTCGCCAACTGGCTGGAGGGTCGCACCCAGAGGGTGGTAGTGGATGGGTCCTTCTCAACTTGGAAGGACGTGGGTAGTGGGGTTCCGCAGTGCTCGGTGCTCGGGCCCGCACTGTTCAACTTCTTCATCAGTGATTTGGACGAGGGGGTAAAAAGCACCCTGTTCATATTTGCTGATGACACTAAGATGTGGGGGGACGTGGGCACACTAGAAGGAAGAAGTAGGCTACAATCGGACCTAGACAGGTTACAAGGGTGGGCGGATGAGAACAGGATGGGTTTCAACACAGACAAGTGCAAGGTGATGCACCTGGGGAGGAACAACCGGCACCATACCTACAGGTTGGGGAACTCCCCTCTTGTCAGCATGGAGGCGGAAAAGGATCTTGGAGTCATCATTGACTCCAAGATGAACATGGGTCGGCAGTGTGGGGAGGCAGTCAGGAAGGCCAACCGTACCTTGTCATGCATCCACAGATGCATCTC